TGATATATGAATACCCACAACCCCAGAGGAGTTGCAAGATCGTTGCTGGCCTTTTGGGGATTTTGAGGATTTACGAATTGGGCAGGAATGGTGGGAAGAAAAGGATCAGGCCTCTGGTAACCTCACACGCCGCCAAAGTAAAAAGAAAATAACCATATCTTATGCCGACTAATGGCTGTTAAGAAGTGGCTTTTGATAAAAACATTAATTTACATACTATAACAAAAACTTCTATTTTTGTACTGTACCAAATTCTTGGACCAACTGTACCTTAGTCCCAAGTCTTCTCCCCTTCGTCTGCGAAGTTCGGCCATATTAAGGAAATTTCTTCGACTTTTACGAGTGCGTGTGAATGAGTGACAGGAGAATTGTTTCGATCCGTCAACTTGTGACTACCTACTCTTAGTGACTGTTAGAGAATTCGTTTAAAAAACTTATAATCCAATTTCTGTCCGAGCGTGTGAAAATACTGGAAAATATTTTCTTCCAGTTCAGTAGCAACGGTACGGCAGTTTGCTACGCCGCGCTACGAGGTCAGCTACGCCGTAGCTCGTATAGTATTTAACTTTGGTTTTTGCTATTGATACATAATAACATACCATATAATACTCATAAAACTTTCAATAATTTTTTTTTTTGAAATTAGAGGCAAACGAGCAGGCGGAATCTGATGGTAAGCGATCGGCGCCGCCCATGGACACCTGCAACACCAGATCCATTCGTAAAACTATACTTTATGAGTTGTCTACTCCAAATTATACGACGTCTGCTGTGCAATGTGTCGCAGGTTTAATTCCCGCAAATGTTGTTAACGCACCCACAACATACGAGAAAATCCTAGACTAAACCAATGTTTTAACTTAAATCAACTACTTAAATCTTTCAACTCTTGAAGTGTCGGTCACTCCTTCCTCTTAGATATTATGCGTCGTTGGGTATCGACCAGCGCCCGCCTGATTTGCATAGCTTCGCAACTTTTCTAACTGAAAGTGTTGTAGGGAGTGGAGGGAGGGGTGCGGGAGGGGGTGAAAGACTCTGAAAGAATGTATCTTGGAAAACTTTTGTGGTAAAGTTTATGATTGTGAGGTTAAGAGGTTCAGGCGGTCAGGGATGTGATTTGGGGTAAGTTTGTTGATTTTTCTTTTTGTTTAGGAATAAGTTGATGATGGAATACATGACTTAAGATGCAATTGTTTCATATGAAAATTATAATGAAAACATTAGATTAGTGGTGTTTGAATAGACACTATTCGTGATGAATTTTGTATCATAATATGTCACGTTGTGACTTGAAGTCACAGTTAATTCACTTGAAGTTGATCCTAAATATAATTAATTCACCATGGACGAACTACTGACTGCTATGGATGGAGTTTCTTGCTCGTTCTTCTCCATTCGAATCTACAATTTGGAACGAGCACCTAGCTTCACTGACGAACAGACTGACAGACTACTATTCTATTTTGACGTTTCAAAAGTACCTATTTATGGTTAAGTTGGAATATATTATTTTGACTTTGACTTTTCTATGTCCAAGGAATACAAACATCACCGTAAGATTAGCAAATACAGATAACTTATCCATATATCCGTGCACGTTATCCTGCCCATACTCTATCATAGCTTCAATCGATTTTCAACCTTAGTCCCTAACGAATATAGTGAAATATCTTAATAAGCTGTCGTTTGTACAAATATGAGGTCCCGTCCGTCTCGTTTTGACACGTGTGTCAGTCTCGCCGTGTTGACTCAGTGGCGGGCAGTAGGTAGTCAACGAGAGCAGAGTGGTCCTGTTCAAACAACTGACGCAGATATCATCTAATAGCTTTATGATAGCTACAGATAGTCAACCTCCATACTTTTTCTTTTGGAAGCGTCTGTTTTAAAAAAGTATAGAAATATGTACATATAATATAATGTGTTATGTAATCTCTTTGAACTCATTTTACGTGAGTCGTAAACTGAAAGAAAAAGTGTGTGTGAGTGACCACCCTTGCCTGATTGTTCAATCAAATATTTGAAAATAACTATACTAAATATATGTATTACGATAAGTTAGAGATAATAAGACATTCAATGAGTTTCTAATACCGAGAAGAACTTCGTGACGTGGTCTATGGATGACGAGCCACGTGAGCGAAATCGGTTGAAGGGGCGACGGTGACGTTCAGAATTTGGTAACTACTTAGATTAAAAAGTGATTGTGGCGTATAGTTGTTGTTTAAAAAGGTTACGCCATGAACCTTCTACCAAAAATCCTTACTAACGGCTGTATATATCGCATTCTCTATCATATATGTAGATACTTGTGCCTTACTGAAGAGTTTATTTATATGGACCAGAACTACTGGTTCGAATTAAATAATTATTTTTGCATGGTTAGTACATTTATCGAGGAAGGTTATAGTCTATTAAACATCACGCTACCACCAATAGGAGCCGAGCAGTGGGTGAAATAGCGCGGTTATAACGAGTACCTAATAAACCAAATGAAACACAGACACGAAACACTCGATACATCGATTGTGATCGACATGTGATAGTCGTAGTGATTTACTAGGGATGCGCCGGCGCATGCGGGCGGAAACTGTCGCGCGCGCTATACATGACACGTTAGAAGGTGCACGCTATGTCTCATGTTGGTTTTAGTAGGTCGAATGTTATGACAATTATTGCATAATAATAAATTTTATCATCATCATCAGTAGGTCGTTTCCGTTCAGTCCATTGATTAATAGTTATCGCCAAATCCCATGGCAAACAGAGCTATCTTCAGGTCTTCATATACAGCCACTGCTGTTGTTATTCCATCCATCGAATCTTCTAGCTGGGGTTGAAGATACCCGGATACAAGGACAACGAACGGGGTCGTTTTTAGTCAGTAACAGTCTAACACTCCCAGAAATCATTCGGATGACGCTTCCTCCCAAAAACTCAATAAGTTCCTGTATGATATTCGACGTTACAATTTTTCTTAGCAATACTAGCATTGATTGTAGCTTATTTTGGAGTGGGTTTACTGTGTGTGTGTCTGTACAATGTACGAAGATGCATCTCAGTGTGGGGTACTGGGTCAACAGATGGTGCACTGATACTGTAGGGACGCGCAGCAATGGGGGCGCCGCGCCGGGACATAGTGCGGCTGGTAATCTTACGCGCGTGTCTCTGGATGATGCAATATTGGGAAGGATATTTTTTGCACAATTTAATTTATTAGATTTAATCTTCTTTTTCTATTAAATCGAATCATATCAGGAGATTTGTTTCTTTGTATTGAATAAGATCCAAAACTGCTTGACCGATTTGAAAAATGCTTACACTGTTGAAAAGCTACGCTATCCCCGTTGAACTTAGTATAACTGAAGCTAGTTAATCGTGATATGATAACATTAAATAATGACATTGCAACCTTCATCCTCATCATGCAATGCACTCTATCATTACGCTTGCATGCAGAGATCCCATACTCACGCTATTATTGTAATTGGTACAGGCAGACCTCTTATCTCTCGCACAGATTTCTGATCCTATCTTAATAATGACCTGTAGAATGTTCATAGTTACGTGTGTATGTGTGGGTCACTGGAGTGGTGAGGGTCGCTGCACTCTGCTATATACATACATAATATACCTATATATTACCTTTATGCCTCCAACTTGGTTTATAGCTCAGCCCCTATATAATGGTAGTAACATGCTCCTAGTATATATTTTGTAAGGATATAAGTGTGGGCGAGCCATGCTTCGACAGGAATGGGTCAGCTCAACCGGATTGATACCACAGCCTCAAAGGATAGAGACGTAAAAAAAGTTTCACCGTGGGTGTGTGTTGGAGGTTACCGGAGGCCCAATTTTTCCCATCCCCAATCCTTTAATGTCTGAAATCCTAATCCCCAAATGGATAGATAGATAGAGATAGATGTATGTACTCGTAACACTTCTATGTTGACAAGCTGATTGGTTAACATCAGGTGTTCCGTACACGCGTTTGTCATCCTATCATAAAGTAAATTCCTATCCTGTCTCGTAAGCTCTGGACCAACGCTTTATTTATCATACGTAGACTCTAGTGACCTCCAGGGATCCAACTTTACGAAACAGTCCAGTCATGCAGTCCGCTTCAATAAATTAATGCAGTTGCGAAAAGTACAAACATTTTGTCAAAACACATGTATTAAAATTCCTTTAGCGTAGCACACGTGATATTATTATGTTTGGCCTTCAAGGACACACAGAAGTCTGTGTTTATTGCTCTAACGAGTTGTGTATAAACATACTCCTTGATATGACGTCGGTACATGCAGATGTGTGGGAGAGCCATGCTTCGGCACGAATGGGCCGACTCGTGTCGCGTTAACGTCAACTGTCACGTCTTAGTCATCAAGCGTAGAGTCAGGAGTATTTAAACTCGATGCAAGTCGACTTGCTGGCTTGGCATTCTAATCTCCGACAGAAAATTGTATTTTAATGTCAATATATTTTTGTCTCTTGAATAGAAAAATTTATAGTAAATATAAATAAGCAGTGTTCTTTCAAAAAAATTAAAATTATTTGAGATTGTTCATAGAACAGGTTAACTCGATGTGCTCCCATACGTTACCTGATGTATGTCGCTTCCAATCAGTGTGATTTGATAAATTTGTGCCTAATTAACGGCCTAGCCTGCTTGATAACATGGCAATTGTATTTTTGTGCGGGTCTCAATTTTAATCTAGCAGCAATCCAATTTTAATAATTATCCGTTCACCTAGATATTTAGACATTCAGTTTAATAGCTAATTCTGGCCTTAAGTTGAATAACTTCAACAACGTATAAGACAAGCTAGAGAAAACTTTTTCTATTCGCATTTCTATCGCATTGAGAATAACACGCTAAACGACTTACATAGAGGGCGGTTTGGTTCTGTAATTTTCCTATTGTTTACGATTCTTTGACATAACGATTTAAATGAACATAACAAATGTGTACAATGTGTAACAAGTGCTGTCGTTGCTTCCAGGCGGCGAGGACGCGCTGGACCCGGGCGTGCGGTTCAGCGTGGAGCCGAGCGACGCGGTGGTGGTGCCGGGTGACGCCGCGCTGCTGGCCTGCTCGGCCGCCTCCAGCCGCGCGCTGCGCCTGCACTGGCGGCACAGCGCCACCGCGCCGCCCACGCGGGACCACGCCATCTCCGACACTGACAAATACAGGTAATTACAGGCTACAAATAATGATAAGGTGATTGCAAGTTGAATTTTATTATCTTTATATGTAAAAATGGCTCGCAAAATGTGTTGGTAAGCGCATAACTCAACAACGCCTGGACCAATTTTGCTAATTCTTTTTTTGTTGTGTTTGTGATCGTCAGGAGAAGGATTTATCAAAGAAAATATTAGAAAAGTAGAGGGGAAAATTGGGAAAAAGTGACCCCTTGATAGCGAGATAGTTGGACCCGTGCGAAGCGGGAGCGGGCCGCTAGTTTAGAATATTTTTTCAATCAAAAGCCTCGAACACAGATACATTTCGGAGAATGCTCGGGAGGACTACACAAGTGGATTCCCCCTTGTTCTTTCCCTCGTCGTGCCACCAGACATCGACAAAACATCATCGCTTTATGGTGGATATCCATTAATAATCAGAACCACTAAGGAGTGGAATTCTTTGCCGGAGTCTGTGTAGGTATGTTCCATCGTAGGTCGGATTATCGTTCTCCAACAGACTCGACGGCGAATAAATATCTGCCCATTTTATAAAAAAAAAATCTGGAATTATATGAAATGAGACCAATGCTTGATCATATAAATGTTTTTAGTATTCTACAGATGGCGTTGTTATCAATCTAGATCGATATTACACAATACTAAGACTATTTATCTCGTTGTGTGTAGGAAGCAGTTGTCGAACGGCTCGCTGTGGATATCGGAGATGTCGGCGTCGCTGGCGGGCCACTACCAGTGCGTGGCCAGCGTCGACGGGGTCGGCACCATAGTGTCGCGGGTCGCGCTCGTCTTCCTGGCAGGTGAGGATACTGCAGCATTCTTAGCTATAAATGATTAGCTATAAAATGATTGAAGCAAGCTTAATTCCTAAGTGTGGAGTAGTATGGTTAGTTCACATTGCTACCTCGTTGACGAAATTCATGATTGTGAACGCCGGTGTGGCTGAAACTAGACGAGCATCCTCGAATATTGTCGAGAAGAAATTTTTTTATCTGTGTCGATTCTTTGTTAATTTTAGTGTGATAAGAGGACTAAACAAGTTACGTGTGTATACAGAGGTACCGGAGGTAGTAGGCGGTCCGCGCTCAGTGCTGGGCGCGGCGGGGAGCGCGGCGCTACTGCCGTGCGGGGTCCGCGCCCCCGCCCGCCTGGCGCTGCGCCTGCTGGCCGCGCCCCCCGACCGCCGCGTGTACGGCGCCGCCAGGCTGCACGCAGCGCCGCCTGTACTCAATCTTAACGTACGTAAACTAAACTATCGAGGCATAAAAGAAGTTTCGCCGTGTGAGTGAGGTAATCGAAAGCCCAATCCTTACCTTCCGCAATCCTAAAATCTTCAAATCCCTAATCCCCAAAAGATCGGCAACGCACACGTAACTCCGCTATTGTTCGGGTTATCATGGGCAGCGCTGATTGCTTACCACCAGCTTATCTGTCTGCTTGTTTGCCGACCTACATCATAAAAAATTAAAAAAATCCGTCACTTATACCTTAATAATTATTAACCCCTAACAGCGTACAAATTACGGTATGGTCAACAATTACTTCTGGATGTGCTAATTTGTCTAGTTTTGACGTTATGGTTGATTTGGCAATTGAGTGGTCAACAGGTTTGAATATCGAATGCACAAAATGTATCAGGTTATTTAATAGTAGAGTTTATAAAGTGGTGTACGCTTGCAGGTGACGTGGCTGAAGAACGGGTCCCCGGTGCGGCTGGAGGCGTCGCGCATGTGGCTGACGCCCAGCGGCGCGCTCGAGCTCGAGCCGCTGCGGCCGCACGACGCCGCGCGCTACCGCTGCAGGGTCGCGCTCGCCGCCGCGCCGCATCTATACAAGTCAGCACCTTTGATTTTCTAACAATTATGTATCTCCTATGGTTATGCGGTCGTCCCGCGTGAGGGAGCAATCCTCCTCCTCACGCCCCAACCGCCGCAACAGGCGACACTACGGGCGTCGGGGATCAAGGAACGATCTGTGGACGGAGAAGCAGACCCGAGCATAGTGCGCGAGGCGTTCCGCGCGCGCCTCAAAGAGCCAGTAGACCACGACAGACGGGGCCCTATAGAGCTGATGTTCAGCCGGGATTGCGGGGTAAGCGCAATGAGACACCGCGACCTCGGCGTAGAGCAGGAGAAGGAACGAAGGAGGTAGGGGGGGGGGGGGGGGTTAGTCAGTAGAGACTCGCACTCTATCTCTCGTCTTCACATGGGCGGGATAGATTTTTGATGATTGATGATTGATGATGATTTCACTTGATGATTTTCCCCTGACGAAAAGAAAACGGTTTCAGTCTCTTACTGACTAAAAACCTCTCCGTTCCGTTCCTTCTCCTGCTCTAGGCCGAGACCGCGGTGCCTCATTGCGCTTACCCCGCAACCCCGGCTGAACATCAGCTCTATAGGGGCCCGTCTGGGCTTTAGTCAGTAAGAGTCTGACACTCCCTCCCGCCTAGCCCTGGGCGGGAGAAGTCATTTGATGATTTTCCCCACACAAAAAAAATGGTTATACGGTAAAGGAAACGGGGATGGGGGGAGTTTATGTGGCGCCCCGCCTTGCATTTTTATAAAGTAAATGTAAATCTTACCAGAACCGGTTGGTGGCCATCGTCGTCCAGTTCAAAGTAGATACGACCTTTAAAGTTCCGCAGGTCTGTAAAAACGCCATTTTGTCCAGTCGACTATCTCTGCTTACCCTCTAAACGTGGTTCCAGGATGAGCGAGGAGATGGAGCTGCGAGTCAGCGCGGAGTCCCCCAACGTGGAGTCCCCGCCGAGGTTCATCGCCACGCCGCAACCTGCCACCGTCATGGAAGGTAACGCCTGCCTTCTGATTGTCACTCTAGTCCTTTTTATGTAATTACCTGATGGTAAGCAATCAGCGTCCATGGACACCCGGAACAACGGAGGAATTACGAGTGCCTTGCCAACCTTTTGGGGATTAGGGTTTGGAGATTTAAGAACTGGGGAAGGATTGGGCCTCCGGTAACCTCATTCATACAGCGTAATACAACCCCGTGCTTGTTTCCCGCTGGTATTCTGTGAGGCTGTGATATCTGGTCGAGCCGACCCATTCGTGCCGAAGCATGGCTCTCCTACACTTTAACTAGCTAACTAACCTGATTCTCAGCGACACTTCCAGTCTCTAACACTGATCTAGTACAAACACAGGCGGGGTCTCTGTGTCCTTTTCTCTCTCCATGGCCACGGCGGTGGAAGACTTCAGAACTTGAGTTAGTCCTACTATAATATTTGTTTGACTGCAGTGATAAAGGGATAGAAGTAACATTATCTTCGCTCCTCTCACGGCGAGATGAGTCATTTAATGATTTTCATACTGGATTCTATGGTGACGAAATTGAAATCTCCAAGTAAATGGTAAAACGTGTGGATTCTGGGATCATCCTTGCTTATAAAGGTCTTGGTAGACGATGTCTTTTTGTTGATGATAATGATGATGATTTGACGAGTGATGATGATGTTACAGGTGCATCTGTAACGTTTGACTGCGCGGCGGTGGGGAACCCTAAACCGGAGATCACGTGGCTTAACAACGGAGCTGCCATCGACCTCAGGTAATTTATGGTGTCTTTATGTTAAATATTTTTTTATGTTGTTTGTCGGCTAACGATCGTGCGGTTGACTTGATGGTAAGCAATTGGCGCTATTAGGAATTAAGAGTTCGTTGTCGGCTTTTTGGAGATTAGGGTTTCAGAGATTTACGACTTGGGTAGCGAAGGGATGGGGAGGGGAAAGATTGTAATTGTTGTATAAGTTGTTAATGGTAATAGACCTGTAAATGTCGTGGTAGTTTTTGTTCAGATATGAAAATAATTTAGTCGACACTAGTGTGATATTGTCGTTGTATTCGTGTTATGTTGTCACTATTAAAGGGATTGAAGAATTTTGTCTTGGATTAATATGAATTATGGTATCTTGTTACATTTTAGCTTACTAGTAGCGTATTATATTATAGCGGCCTAGAGCAAGAGAAGGAACGGGAGGAGGAGGTTAGTTAGTAAAAAGTCTGACATTTTTTCTCCCGATCCTGGGCGGGAGAAGTGATTTGATGATGTGTTAGTAAGCAGTAGCGGCGAGGTCGTGGTGTAATGTTGCAGCGACCTGGACTCGCGGTTCTACCTGGTGGGGTCGGGGTCCCTGCGCGTGCAGGCGGCGCGCGCGCTGGACGCGGGCGCCTACACGTGCCGCGCGCACTCGCGCCTCGACTCCGCCGACAGCTCCGCGCACCTCGCCGTGCTCACGCCGCCGCGCGCGCTGGGCCCGCCCGCCGTACTGCGGGCCCGCCAGCGCGGCGACCTCACGCTGCGCTGCGACGTCCGCGGCCGCCCGCCGCCCGCCGTCGTCTGGCTCAAGGACGGAGACCCGCTCACCCCCAACAACCACGACATCGCCATCGTTGACGGGTACTGTACTTGCACTACTCATTGCTTGTATAAACTATAGCGCTGTTTTGATTTATGACGAACGCAATTTTAAAAAGATGTGACTTAATATTGACACTGGATTAAAGTTATTATAATGTTGAACTCATCGAGTAAATAAGTCTGTGATTGTGTAATGTCTTCATACAAATATTAAAAGCAACTTTGCCCATGTTTTCAAATTATAGAAAAACAATCATTTTCATCTTGTTTTTAAATAAAATAGTCTTCAAATGTTAGTAATAGTGACACACCAACCTAAACAAGTTCCCACAAGATGTTGCTTTAATTTAATTCAGCGTCACACACGCAAACAAACCCTTTTCTTATGATATAGTGGGCAAACATTACCTAATGATAATCAATCAGCGCCACCCATGGACACTTTCAGCACTACAGAAGTCAGAGTACGCTCGTTTCTTGAAGGTTTGACCGTCGTATCGGTCTGCTGGAAGATTATTCTAAAGTTTTGCTGTGCGGGTAAAAAATCTGCCAACCATTTATATGAGGGGGATGAAAACGTTTACGCATAGACCAATTGCGAAAAGATGCGGCGGAGACCAAACAATGGCTTGACGTATATGGTCCCCGGCAGGTCGTCGCTGCGCATCCAGGGCGTGCTCCGCGTGGACGCCGGCATGTTCCAGTGCGCGGCGTCGTCCCGCGCGGGCTCCGCCCTCGCCGCCGTCCGACTGCTCGTACTGCCGCCCGACGACGGTAACTATACCACGCTGCACTCTTACAACGACGTCTTTTGCTAGCTGTTCCAAAACTGACCCTTTTTAAGTGTCCTTTCTTTGGTTTTATGTTCCTAAATCCGGCCCTATATTGTATTTGTGTGTCCTAATCCCTTCATATAGCTTTCATACTTTATTTTATATTGTTTTCTTTTCTTATAATTTTTGTTTGTTTATTTTTTATGTTAATTTTGTTTTATTTGGTTCCTCCCGCCCCCCTAACCCCTCGCCTTGCAGACATGCGCAACATAACAGTAGAGGTACCGAGCACTGGCGTGTCGGCCTCCACCCAGCCACCTGAGGAGGAGGACTTCCTCGGAGAGACGTCATCAGCGTACACCGCGTCGCCGCTGGAGTATTCAGAACTGGATGATTACGAGGACGGCACTGATGATGAGGATTCGTTTCATGCTGCGGAAGGCCTGGAGTTGGACCAGCTTCGCGCCGGCAACGTGTCGGGCGCGGCGCCGCGCGGGCTGCGCGCCGTCATCGTCAAGCACCGGTTCGTCACGCTCAGCTGGCAGCCGCCGCAGGACGGGGACGTCGCCGGGTACGCCGTGCTGTACAAGGTCAAGGGCAGCCAGAGGTCAGTCATACACCATGCATACACACACGGCGTACTCGACCCAATGTCTTTCATTAAGTGACCAATATTATAAATGTCACGCTAGGTACTTATTGGGTGAAGTGTCATACACACTACACCCTTGCATGATTTCACAAGCGTCCGTCATAATTCTACTACCAGACATTCTTTTTTTAATATCTTTACCAATGTTTTTTAAGAGTTTTATACATTGCAATTTGTTTTCACTCAAGCAATCTTCTTCCATTTTGATTTTGAAATACCCATAATATTATGATCTTGAAATAAAAGTATATAGTAAAAGGATTGAAGAAAAAATATTAAATTTTTTCCAAATTGCAATGTGAGGAGTTATTGGTGTCTCATAGATAGGCTACTACGATTGACAAATGCCTACAAACTAAATACATCTATGTTATGCTGGACTTTAGCTTAGCTTACACACTATATAATACACAGTAATAACATCATAACAAGGGTGTATGTCCACAAAGAAGTAAGTATAGCAATGTCCGTCGGTGCAGGGAGCGAGTATGTCGCGGGGGCGCGGGGCGGCACGAGCTGAACGTGGCGGGCCTGCAGCCCAACACCAGCTACCAGTTCGCAGTCCTCGCATACACCGGCCACGGGACCTCGCCCCTCTCCGACGTATGTAAAACTGTACCTATAGTTCGTTCCATAATTAGAGACAACGATTTGACATTTCGAATGTTGCAAGATTTTTCCATTTCATAAATAGTGAAGTCCCGCGACCGGTATTGACCGAAAGACCGAAATTAAATTCTGGACTTCTTGCAATTTAAAAGCTTTATTATTTTTAGCTACTTTCCCTGGTACCTTCCTGCGCCCATACTAACGCAGTCGGGTTAAAATCACAGTGGTAAGGAGGCGACCGTAAAATAGTGACCCATCTTTTAGCAGCCATCAGTCCACGACGTATCGTTCATAATTACTCTTCTATTTCCGGGAAATCTCCAACAGCTCGGCTTTCAGCATAGGTTCCTCAAATATAATGTTTTTCTTTTAGCCAGTCTTGGATTTCGGATTTTTATTTTAAATTATTATTATTAATTCGGCTTAACTATAAAAACATCACCGCAACTGTTTTATTTTGCTCAGGGTATTTTATAAAAAACGGTATCGGTATTTTATTTAAAAATCGTACTCGGGCCTATCACTATGTTAAAAAATCTGGCCACATTATTTTGTAGTTTGACATTTGCTGTTGTCAAATTGTTGTCTCTAATTATGGAACGAAATATAAACTACACGACATTTAATTGTTTTTATTATAACTTTCGTACGACATTCTCAATTAATTATTATGTTTTCGGCTTACTCACGTAATAATTTGACAAGATGCTCGACTAGTTTCAAGCCATGCTAGAGACTGATTTTCAAGCCGTGGAATAACAGCCATTTTATGAGGAAGTGTGTTGAAAAAAATATTTCCGTTCCGTTACACAGACGATAGAGGTGGTGACAACTGAGGAAGAGGTATCGCACGGGCCCCCGGTAGACTTGCGGGCGGAGGCCACAGGGCCGCACTCCCTGCGCGTGTCCTGGGGCCCGCCTGTAGGGGCCCCGCCGCCTGCCAAGTACTCCGTGCACTACACTGAGGTACATAATGCTGCTTAATATTTTACTATATTATATGTGTGACTTACGTCTTATAACTACAGGTTTCTATGAAGTACTAGCTCTAACCCGCGGTTTCATTTCTGTCATTTGATTTAACTACACTACCCAATCTAGTTATTTACACCCGACATTAATTTATCACCCTACACTATCAGTTCTACGCTATCTACCTAACGCAGAAACTTAGAGAAACTTAATGATTCATTAGCATCTAAATTAAGTATAGAAAATTTTGATGTAAGTAATCCAAGCAGGTTATACGAAAAATTTTTTACGGTGTTAAATAGGGAATTTCAAGATATTTTGCCAATGAAATATAAAGACGTCTATGCTAAGTTTCAGTTTAGCGATTGGGCTACCGCAGGTATTCGTAAGAGTAGAGATAAACTTTTTGAACTTTATGGCATGAAACCATACAATTGCGACCCTCTTTTTCATCAACATGTAAAATTGTACTCAAAGACATTTAGAATAGTATGCAAAACCGCAAAGCGTCTTTTCATCAGTAATAAAATAAAATCAGCTGAAGATAAGATAAAGGCTACGTGGAAAATAATACAGAATGAGACAGGTAGGAATAAATTAAAACATTCGGCTTTTTGTTTAAACACAGAGAGGGGACAGATTTCGTCAAGCACAGATGTAGCTCAGGAGTTTGAGACTTTTTTTGCTAATATACCTGTCAAAACAACGGCTCATTTAAAATCATCGGCCAGACTATCGGCAACTTTGCTTAGAGAAAATGTTAAATCATGCGAATGCGACTTTAGTTTTCATTATACTAGTCCTTTAGAGATAATAAAGGTTTTTAAAGAAATCAAGATCAAATCAACTGAGGACCTTTGGGGACTATCCGTGAAAGTCTGCGGATCACTTATCCGAACTTTAGCGCCGTATCTGGTTTTGATTTTCAATAAAAGTATAGATGACGGTGTCTTCCCAAACCTAATGAAATACAGTAAAGTTATTCCATTATTCAAAAATGGTGACACTAAGGAACCAAACAACTATAGGCCTGTGTCTGTTCTGCCGGTTCTTAGCAAAGTGTTCGAAAAGTTAATGCTATCTCGGATGCTTCATCACTTTGATAAACATGCCATCTTCCATCACCAACAATACGGTTTCACTAAAGGTCGTTGTACAACTGACGCCGGTGTCACGTTGATAAAGGAAGTACTCGGTGCTTGGGAGGAAGCACAGGATGCTGTTGGTGTCTTTTGCGACCTCTCAAAAGCGTTCGATTGCGTTGATCATGAAACACTCTTGCTGAAATTAGATCATTACGGGATTAGACATACTGCACTCCGTCTACTAAAATCATATTTAGAGGATAGGCAGCTGAGAGTTCATGTAGGTGGTTATAACTCACAGGGCTCTGAGATAAGAATGGGCGTTCCACAGGGTTCAATATTGGGTCCGTTTCTCTTTTTAGTGTATGTTAATGACTTGCCATTTCTATTTAAAACCGAGCCAAGTATGGTGCTGTTTGCTGATGATACATCATTAATTTTTAAAATAGGTCGACGTTCTAATAATTTTGACGAAGTAAACAGCTCCATTCATCAAGTTCATAATTGGTTTACAGTCAATAATTTAGCACTTAACGAGAAAAAAACAAAATGTATTAAATTTAGCTTGCCCAACGTACACAGTAATGATTGTAGCATAATTTTAAATGGGCAAAAGTTAGAATTTGTCAACGAGACAGTGTTTCTAGGTATCACACTAGACAATAGACTTCAATGGGGTTCCCACATAAAGACGCTTTCGGGGAGACTAAGCTCTGCTGTTTTTGCAGTTAGACAGATAAGACAGCTCACAGACGTGAACACAGCAAGGCTTGTCTATTTTAGCTATTTTCACAGCATTATGTCATACGGAATTTTGCTGTGGGGTCGAGCTGCGGAAGTAGAATCAATATTTATTCTACAAAAGCGGGCTATCCGAGCGATATATAACTTGCCCCGTCGCGAATCTCTGAGAGAACTATTTAAAACGATAAATATCCTGACGGTGCCTTGTCAGTTTATATATGAAAATATTATGTATGTAAGGAAAAATTTGCAATTATTTGAAAAAAGAAGCGATAGACATAATTTTAATACAAGAGGCAAAGATAGGCTGGCTGTGCCACGATTCCGTCTGTCCAAGGTACAGAAATCCTTTATGGGGTTCTGTGTAAATTGTTACAATAAAATTCCAAGTACTGTATTGAATCTTAACGAACGAAAATTTAAAACTTATATTAAACGTGAATTGTGTAGACAGGCATACTACAAACTTTCAGATTATATTGAGGATAAGAATGCCTGGCAGCGTGTTGATTCGGCTCCACTGGACAATACTCAAATATAGTCAGCAGTTAGGTAAAATTCTCAAAAATAATGCATCCTTAATTTAAATATCCAAAAAGTTTATATAGAAGCACTCTTAAATATTGTGAGTACGCATATGTGAGCGCCATGTTCGAGACGACAAAGGAGTAAAATTTTATGATAGGTCCCCTCATTTGTTCTTTTTTTTAACAACTTGTCTCTGCATTGTTCTCACATAAGGGTACACTAATGTATACTATAAATGTTATATTATTGAAATTGTAAAACAATTTTTTTTTTAAAAAAAGAGTAACGAATGGAGTTTCTTGCTCGTTCTTCTCCATTCGAATCTACAATTTGGAATGAGCACCTAGCTTCACTGACGAACAGACTGACAGACTACTTTTCTATTTTGACGTTTCAAAAGTACCTATTGATGGTTTAATTGGAATAAATGATTTTGACTTTGACTTTGACTTTGACGCTACCTTTTCTACGCTACCTACCCAATACTACCTACTCTACCCTACCTACTTTACTCTATCCCTATATCCTTCTCTCACTTGTTAGCTACTTCCCTACTAATTTCCAGCCAAATAGGCTTAGCTGTTCTTGAGTTATAAATGGTGTGACTAACACGACTTGTTTTTATATATAAACATATAGATGTTCTGTTACTATTTCTATATAATAATTTGGGATACCAGGAGGAGAGTGGTCGCGAGCAGCTAGAGTGGGTGGAGGCGGAGGCGGGGCGCGGGGGCGCGCAGGCCGTGACGCTGGGCGCGCTGCGCGCCGCCGCCGCCTACGTGGTCCGCGTCGCGGCGGCCGGGGGCGCGGCCGGCCTCGTCCGCGCGCGGACCCCGGGGGACGTGCCCGCCGCCGCCCCCGCCAACGTCTCCGCCGTACCCACCGGCGCCACGGTAACTATCCTTTTCTATTATTATAACATTTAAAATAATCGTTCTATTGTTTTCTTTAGTCCTGATACATGACATGCCAACCCCTTTCATTAATTTTTGCACCGTACTAACGGTCACCTGCGGCACCGCCCGCGTTAGTGGCGATTTTACTCTTTACCAATTATTTTTGAATTTCCACGAATAATTCAAGACCAAAATTAGCCAAATTGATAAAGTCATTGTTGAGTTATACCATTACAAGGCAATATTTTATATATACATATATAGATTAATAGCTTCCTTAGTTAGTAGTATCCATTCCTTCTAAACTCCAACCTTCTGCCACAGTCCATCCTAGTCCGCTGGGATGCTCCCCCGTCCCGCACGCACCGCGGGGCCCTGACGGGGTACAAGGTGCGGTACCGCGCGCTGGCCCCGGCCCCTTCGCCGGGCCCCGCCACCGCCGCAGCGGGGCCCGCCGCCAGGAAGAAGGCAGACTCACTCACCACGCCCGCCGACCAGCGGAGGGCTGAACTGAGGGGGCTGGATACTGCTACTACATATCAGGTAACGATAGGATTTGTGTGAATTATACAGTTAGGTAGTTTCCTAGATCAAGAATAAATTATTTTGATGTTTCAATACAATAAAATGTTGTAACTATACTTTTATTCATACATATATTTTTTTATATCTTTAAAGCTAATTTTTACTAAGAAATCAGTAAGTTATTTGACTCAAAAATACTATGACGTCATAACTTTTATAACGATTTAAAAAAACTAACACCCGGTTTCCGAAAGGCTGATCAATGTTTAAAATCAATTTAATCTTTTGTCAAGTCATCTGATTGGTTGACTGAATTATCAACAACCAATCAGATGAGTTGACAAGAGATTAAACAGGAGATTAATTAATTTTAGCGTTGACAAGCCTTTCAGAAACCGGGCGTTAGAGTTTCATACAAATATGTATAAAAGTATCGAATTAGACTAATTGGAAACTACCGTATTGTCTTTGTACCTGTGTAAGTATATGATGTAATGTTGTGGTAGATCCGCGTGTGCGCCATAAACGCGAACGGGTCGGGTCCGTTCAGCGAGTGGGTGTCGGCCAGTACGCAGCGACACGAGCTCGACGAGGCCACCGTCCCCCCCGCGCCCCCACCACTCACCAGTACGTCATACACATTTATATATAGGGTGTCCGGTAAAGAATGGATAACCTTGAAATGCCTTTGTAATATTTTTTTTTTGTATATTTTTGAATGGCCATAAGATATACTTAAAGGTATTGCAAGGTTATCCATTCTTTACCTGACACCCTGTATATTTGCTTTGTATACATTCTGTGTAACTATGCATGTTTTGTGATCAAAATGTATAGCGTCTATTTGAATGAACTTGTTTCTTTGAATAAACATTACTGTTACACTGTTCTTAAATAATGAAACCAACTTAAAAATACACCACAGAAACTGTATGTGAAACCGATGTAAAAGAGTAACCATGGAGTTTCTTGCTCGTTCTTCTCCATAATATTGGAGAAGAGACACTTTGGAACGAGTAAAAAGCTTCACTAGAGGAGTGACCGACAGACTAACACTTTTATCTTTCAGCTTTTTTTGACATTCAAAAGTGCCTGTAAGGGTCTAATTTCAATAAATAATTTTCGTTTGTTAAATTTCTTATAAACGTGTTTCGATTTCCCCTCTACAAATGTATTACTCTCTCGCCCGAATCGACAGCATACAGTATTTTCTCTTTTGCTTTGATTTTCCTTTGGTTTGCAACAAATAAGAATAATGTACCTGTCGGCAGCGCGCGCGGGTCGCGACTGGATCAGCGTGTGGTGGGGGGCGGCGCAGGGGGGCGTGCTGGTCCGCGGCCTGGTGCTGGGCTGGGGGCTCGGGGTGCCCGACGACGCCGCCAGGGAGCTGCCCCCCCATCTACACTCACACGTCATCCGGGGACTCGGTGCGGATACACTCTACTACTCTTATATTTCTTGTACACCATATCCATCGCACGTATAGCTAAGGCCACGGTCGCTTCCTCGTGATTGCTCGCGTGGTTAAGATCAATCGCTCTCATAGCATAAGACGCCGTCTGTGAAGACGACAGTGGCCTTATTAATTGAAATTCTTATAAAATAAGTATTCTGAAACCTATGAACAAGACATCTAATAAAATGTCCAATGTAAATATCTTAGTGAAAACCGTAAACCGTGTGTAACCTTCCTATCACACCTAACAAACGACCTGGTGATGACCTTGAAAACCAGAACCGGTTTGCACCAAACATAGCTAGGAACAGAAAAAAAACGCATTAAAAACGGATCATTCGTTTGAGAGCTATGTTGCCACTTGCCACAGACAGACACACATACAGACGCGTCAAACCTAGTATCACACCCATTCATTTTTGCGTCGGTGGTTAAAAAGTAAAAAACGGAGAGGAAGGAAGGAAGGGCTCTGATCTATTGTGTACATTATTATGTAATAGAATCGAACGCGGAGTACGTGATATCCCTCCGCGCCAGCAACTCCCGCGGGCTGGGCCCGGCCGTGTACGCCACCGTGAGGACCAAGCCGCCCGCCGACGACGAGGACGAGCCGGAGGACGAGGATGAAGAGGACGAGGACGAGGAAGACGAGCCTCCGCCACTCATACCTCCTGTAGGAGTTAAGGTACTTTTTATAATAATTTTATTTTATTAAGCTTCATGCTCACAATTATTTGTATCTACATAGGTAGACTCAAAGCTGTTGGCATTGTCTACTTACAGACTAAACCCCCCCGTTCCCTCTCCTGCTCCGGGCCGAGGTCGCGGTGCCTCATTTGTCTGTTGCCACACTGGTCCTCCAGTGTGACATTTGATATATTTGAATGCATGAGCACTTTTTTGTAGAAAACAGACAAATTGCCGATACCTGTACTTAATTAAAGAGTGATACAACGAAACAGAATAAACGTTATTTCACGCTGGTGTAATCCGAGACCGCTTCGCGATAGTTCCTATTTCAACAGAAATCCAATTTCATATGTATTTTTAAGTAATACGTCGGCAAACGAGCAGACGGATTACCTGATGGTAAGCAATCAGCGCCGACCATGGACACCCGCAACGGAGGAGTTACGAGTGCGTTGCCGACCTATTAGGGATTAATGATTTGGAGATTTAGGGATTGAGGAGGGATTGGGGAAGGGGAAGGATTGGGCCTCCGGTAACCTCACTCACACGGCGAAACACAACGCTGTGGTTGCACACAAGCATGTGCAATGTGGGCGCAAATGAGACACGTGTTGCTTGGACGATCGTCTTTAATTAAGTGCTCTCTTATTATAATAACTTACGCTCCTTATGGGCAGAGGTGTCACACACACTACACATGGCTCTCCCACACTTGTGTGTCGTGTCGTCGTATTTTCTCTTTATTTCAATATTGTACATTGTAAAGTAACATTATACTGTATTTGTGTTTGCAGGTGATCATGCTGAGCGGTACCACGGCGGTGGTGTACTGGACCGACCCTACACTGCCCAAGGGACAGGTACGTATACATATTTACCTATATACGTATATAATATATACCGATAGATACTACTAGCTTTTGCCTGCGATTCCGTTCGCGTGCAATGGTGACTTCCTGCAGATTTTTGGTATAAAAACTATCCTATGTCCTTTCTCGAGTTCCAAACGATGACTGTACCAAATTTCACAGAAATCGGTTCAGTAGTTTAGGCGTGAAGAAAAGACAGACAGACAGAGTTACTTTCGCATTTATAATATTAGTTCGGATAATGCACTTTTTTTAAAGAGTAACGATGGAGCTTCTTTATCGTTCTTCAGCGACGAATTGATTGACAGACTACTATTCTATTTTGACGTTTCAAAAGTACCTATTTATGGTTTAGTTGGAATAAATATATCAAGCCACGTGGCACGTATAACATAGATCGTATGTGATTCTGCATAACTTCCCGTTGTCCCAGACGGCGACGGACGGGCGCCGCTACGTGGTGCGGTGGTCGAGCGCGGGGGGGCGCGCGCGGACCTTCAACGCCACCGACCTCAACTGTATGCTCGACGACCTCAAGCCCTACACGCACTACGAGTTCGCCGTCAAACTCATCAAGGGTATGTTGCACCCCCACACCCCCTTCTACAGAGAGAGTCATTGAACTACAATTACTATAAACCCTTCCCCCTCCTACCATCCCTATCCAATTTTTAAATATCCGAAATCCTTATCTCTAAAATGTCGGCAACGCATTCGTAATTCTTGGTGTCCATCGGCGGTGCTGATTGTTTACCATCAGGTAAATTGGCCTGTTCGTTTGCCGATGTATACCATAAAAAAATCCAAAAAGCCCGCACCGGACATTTAATTCCTTTCGTTGTGCGGTTGTCTATAGACGTTGGTGATTGCCATTAGGTTATTCGTATCGTCGTCTGTCGCGCTATTATTAATTTGTGCATGCGTGCAGGTGGCCGTGAGTCGGCGTGGTCGATGATAGTGTCGAACACGACGCTAGAGACAGCGCCGGGCTCCGCCCCCCGCGACCTGCGGGTGTCCCCCGCCGCGCCCCCCGCGTCCGCTGCGCGCGCCGTCGACCTCGTCTGGCAGCCCCCCGCCAAGCCCAACGGGGTCATTACCGGTCAGTATAGTGTGTCGTGTGGGACGGGTCGTGTGATGGATGAAGTGGTGTAACGTTGCCCCCCCCCTCCCCAGGGTACGTGATAATGTACGCGGTGTCGGGCCCGGCCCCGCAGTGGACGGCGGTGGCGGCCCCCGGGGAGCGGCCCCGCGCGCGCGTCGAGCGCCTGCGCCCGCGCACGTCCTACCTGTTCAAGCTGCAGGCGCGGAACTCCAAGGGGCTCGGCCCCTTCTGCGCCCCCGTGGGCCACGCGACGGGGGCGGAGGCCGGCGCGGCGGGGCTGGCGGGCGCCACGTCGGCGTGGCTGTGGGCGAGCGCGGGCGGCGCCCTGGCCGTGCTGGCGCTGGCGGCGGCGCTGGCGCTGTCGCTGTGCTGCCGCCGCCCCGCCCCCCCCTCGCCCGACACCTCCACCTACCACAAGTCCTCCGCCTCCGCCGCCATCAAGCCGCCCGACCTCTGGATCCACCACGACCAGATGGAACTCAAGCACATGGACAAGTCGCTGCACAGCTCCGCTAGTAAGAGTACGACACACACACTACTATACTTCTTACCCCCCTCTACACACGTTCTTCTACTAACATTGTTACAATTCTTTTATAAACTATCATTTTCATTTAACCAATCTTCTCTTAGAAATCTGATCCACATTATGTCAAGCTTCCACTAACAAACCCCCCCTGCCGCAGTATCGGCGGGCAGCGTGGAGGGCGGAGCGCTGATGTCGTCGACGCTGACGCTGGGGCGCGCGCCCCCCGCGGAGTACGAGCCGGCGCGACACCCCCCTCCCCCCGCCTCCCTGGACCGCCGCCACCACGTGCCCACATACGTCGGTACGTACACACACACACACACACACACATGCATGACCATCCCAACATACACACACACTCTCATATCATTCATTTCGTTTTCATCACCCCCTGTATATATGTGTCATTGTCATTGTACTATCGACAAGTTTCACCGATGACCCACTACTAAATTATTTGACTTAAAATGGTTTTTGTTGATTTGCTAATTGTATATGAGTGGGTGACGACAAGTTGTCGATAGTAATCGCGCGTGGCGCGGCGTAGCAGTAAGGTAGCGTAGTGTATGCGCGTAGTCCGCGGTAGTGACGTGTTTGTGGCGCGGGTAGAGTCGCGCTCGGTGTCGGCGGCCAGCGACGACACGTGCGTGGTCCGCGCGTCGCCCGCGCGGCGCTGCGACCGATGCGACGCCTGCGACAGATACGACCGCTGCGACGCCTGCGACAGATGCGACTATATGCCCAGACGTGAGCTACATTTTTGTTCGCTTCCTTTTATTTTCATTTCTTTTCTTGCTTTTCTCTAGTATGTAGATTTAGTTTCACAAGAACTCCTTGTTTGATAAAAAAATCTTTACTTTCTCTACAAAATCTAACCAAGTGTATGAAATAGTGAGCTCAGATGGCGGTACAGTCGATTTTAAGAACTAACTTTTACATTCCTTTTACATCAATACCTACTAATACTTAGAGAATGTGTGTAACCGTTTTTTATACATTTGGTTAGACGTTTTATTTAAAATTTTACTTAATATTTGTTTAATTAGAATCAAATTTGCACGACTCATGTAATTCATCCTAGCACTTGTCACATGAAGAGTTTCGTTATAACATGGTAAGGAATGGTTTTGTAAACATTTTTCACTTTCTCTCATTATAACTGTGTTCTACATCAATAAACAATATCTTTAAATATACTAAAACTAATTAACTAAATGTTTTCAATGTATAATAATACTTATAGTTTGATAAATATGTGAAACTTAATTATTATTATTTTTGTAGTTGCTGTTGTAGGAATAAAATTAAATCATAAATAAAACTATTGCCTATTACCCTGAATCCTATTTTATTATAATCCATTAATTAGGATATCTAGGGAGAAGGATAATAAAATAAAGCAAAGGAAATCAACGGCACTGGAAATCATGGCTAATAGTCATAAGTCAATTTCGTTGATTGTACCTAAAATATAAGGCTGATCTAATTATTTCAGTGTTGCCATACTAAGTAAATACGTTATGTGTTGCAGCGATGACGGGTATGGGCGTGGGGGTAGGCGTGGGAGGCGTGGGCGGCGTGGGCTGCGCGTCCACGTGCGAGCGTCGTCCTCATGCGCGTATGCCGCATCCCGACCAGGTACGAGTACGTACTCCTTGTATATACATACTACTATTTACATAAATTTGTTTAAAAAGAGTAACCATGGAGTTTCTTGCTCGTTCTTCTCCATTGGATTCTACACTTTGGAACGAGCACCTAGCTTCACTGACGAACTGACTGACAGAACTGTTCCATTTTGACGTTTTGAAAGTACCCATTTAAGGTTTAGTTGGAATAAATGATTTTGACTCCAGTAGAGATTAGTACTGTCAATTGGGACTGGTCAGCTCCGGACTGTCTACTGTCCTTAAGGTTATTTTCTTTTTATGTTTCTCTGTTTATTAGTGTTACACTGTTCTCACATAATAATTACACACACTGTTTTCACACAATTGAACCAACTGTTTGTATAAGGAACCTGTATGTGAAACTGATTGAAAAAGAGTAACCATGGAGTTTCTTGCTCGTTCTTCATTGGAATCTACACTTTGGAACGAGCAAATAGCTTCACTAAGAGGACTGATCGACAGACTGACACTTTATATCATCAAAAATTTTTTTGACGTTGAAAAGTGCATCTAATTGGAATAAATGATTTTTGATTTTGACTTTGTGCTAACAAATTGTACACATCTTTAAATATGACATAACTTACTTATCTATATTCATTGTATGGTAATATGGTCTGTCTGTATGTCCAGAGCACCCCCCTGCTGGCGGGGGTGGCCCCGCTGGGGTCCCCGCAGTCGTCGCTGGGGTCCCTGCCTCACCCCGCGCACCAACATCTACAGCACCAGCCCCCCGCGCCATGTACGTATTGTTACAGATGGTAGTATCATCAAATAGTAATGTGTGTATTTATTGTGTGTGTGTGTGTAGGTGCATCGAGTACGTGTCCGCTGGGCGCGTCGTGCGGTGCGCCTGCGGACGGGTTCGCGGCGGCGGCCCGCGAGCGGGGACACTACGTCGCGTACGAACCGCTCGGACACTACACGCAGTCTGTACACCATTACTTACCTACTTACTTTATACACATTCTGTAAACACAAAACCAAAGCATTTCTTACTCAATTTCATACATAAGAGTACATACATTCTATATGTATTTTTGCCATTGAAGCTATTACTTCTGAACACTAATTTATACTGAACAATACAAACTAAAAAAGTCCCTTATATAAATATAAGTACAAGGTTAGCGCGGTGTGGTTCGATTCCCGCACATAACAATTCTTTGTGTAATCCAAAATTTGTTGTTTCGGGTCCGGGTGTGTATGTGAAATTGTATGTTTATAAATGCACACACGACACAGGAGAAAATCCTAGTGCAGGGCAACGTTTGTTTTACAAAAAAGGTATATATAATAAAATAAATAAATAAAGTATAGATCTCTATTAAGCAGAACGAATATAAGAATATTCGTTTCGATGTATTAACTAATCTATTTTTCGTAGTCGCGACTCACTGAGTAGTGAAACGGGCCCCGGCAGTGGGAGCGGGGGCCCCATCATGAGCGGGGGCCCGGGCCTGGGTCCCGGTGGCGGGTCCCTGCAGCGACGGGGCGCGGGCCCCGCGGGGGGCGCGCTGCACAGCTTCACGCTGAGCGACAACGCGAGCGACACGTCGACGCCCTCCCACTCGCGCGCCAGTGTGAGGGAGACCTCGCCATACAAGAAGAGTGCCAGCTCCTCGCCAGGACATATACCCAACCGGTTGCAGCTCGGTGAGATATACTCAGTTATAATGTCCAGGAATGTCTGAGGGTATGAACCCGAGTAACTTACTGTAAGTGAACGCTTGAACTACTCCTACAAATATTATTAATGCGAAAGTTTGTAACTATGAATGAATGTTTGTTACTCCTTCACGGAAATATTTTTTTTTATGTTATGTGGTAAGCAATCGGCGCTGCCCACGAACATCCGCAACAACGGAGCAGTTACGAGAGCGTTGACGACCTTTTGGGAATTTCGGGATTGGGGTAGGGGAAGGTTTGGGCCTCCGATAATCTTACTCACACAGCGAAACACAACGCTTTAGTTATTTCACGTCCGTTCTCTGTGAGGCCGTGGTATAATTCCGATTGAGCCGACCCATTCGTACCGAGGTTGGCTTTCCCATACTTAAATATTACTCTATGGATTTTGATGAAAATAGCCACAGAGATAGATTGTAGGCTAGTTTTCATCTGGGTAACTCGGGCAAAGCGGCTAGTAGAAGTTAGTACAGTGTATGATTCCCCTGTAGGTGGCGCAGTCCCTCACTGCGCGGACGAGCTGGAGCCCCTGACGCCGTCGCGGTCCACGGAGCGCCTCCATCGCGAGATGCAGAACCTCGAGGGACTCATGAAGGACCTCTCCGCCATCACTCAGCAACAGTTCCATTGCTAGCACCACTACGCTGCACCATCATCAGATACTTCATTTCATTCATTTAACTGACAGGAAATCATACTTAAATATAATCACAGCACTTCATAATGGAATACAAATTAACTTGCGTAAGAAAAAAGTTTCTTAAGTACATTTTTCGAACATGCTCGATTAGTTTCAAGTCACATTGGAATTATAAGTTATGAATACATCATACACCATTGTTTTTTGTACTGAAACTGTGTGATTGTGACTGAATCGAATGAAATGAAGTATACAGACAGACAGACAGACATTTCGTTACACCGACACTTGTGACATAATCCTAGCTTTATTATTTTAGATCAGTTTATACTAATGTTTACTCCCTGTCTATGGTTCTGTCGAATTATCTAAAATAATATAATTTGTTAAAACGCGACAAATAATGTCAAAGTTTTGTTTTATAGGATGAGCCGGCAAACGAGCAGACGGATTACCTAATGGTAAGCAATCAGTGCCTCCCATACACAGCTGCAACACCAAAGGAGTTACTAGTGCGTTGCCGGCCGGGATTTCAGGAGAGCGAAGGAGGGATTGGACCTCCAGTAACCTCACTCACACGACGAAACACAACGCTGTGGTTGTTTCAAGCAGTTCAGTTTTGATTTAGATTTAGGTAAAAAATGTGACTTTGTTATGAATAGGCAGTGCCATAGACAAGGAGTAATTGTTTTTAGATGAGTTTATCACAAATATAGTTGAGTAGTCCCCAGTACTTACTGTACTCTGTACATAGCGACGTACTAACGTACCTACCTATACATTATGTATATATCTAGTTAAACATATTCTAGCCAATAAGGATAGGAGTATCATTATTTTGACTGATTTTTTATTATTGCTAGATATATTTCAAACACTGCAGTGTTATATACCTATACATGTAGATATTATTATTTATATGCAAAGTTAGGTTAAATGAGGGATTTATTCACGGGGGCAATTTTTGTGCTCAATTAGAACAATTAAATATAAAATCTTAATAATAAATATATTTACCTATAAAAATTGTAACAGCTAATTGATCGTTTTGCATGAAAAAGTAAATGTTTTTGAGATTTCTCTTGTATTGATTCGACTTTCTTGTTTTATTCGAGCACCAGAATCGGTTCCTTGAATAAGTCCCTCCGTTAACCTAACTCACTGTATATATTTAGTGAAAATACCTTTTTCGACGGTCTAATATATTTGTGCGTTTTTTAGGAAAATTGTACTCAATTTATATATTTTTTTAAATTATATGTTGACTGCAGTGTGTGATATATTACGGCGGCCATATTGTGCCCGCGGTCATTGACCCCGCTCTGACTCGCTCAACCTCCTCACAGACTCCTACATTCCAACTTACACCAAACCCCATCTATTTACAATTCAAACGATTTTCTCCCTTATGCCTTTGTAATAAGTGTGATTAAATGTGCACCAAAATGTTGGTATTGTAAATATTTTTTCTGACTTCCAATGTCAACTGTATGTCGCTAAGAACAGGGATGAAAATCGTTTAAAGGTTGTTAGTTGGAATGTAGGCGGGTTTTATGTATGGAGAAGGCTCACTGTATATGTTTATGTAAAGAGCTAGTCATATAAAGTATGCCTAAGTAGTGTAAGTAGGTTCTACGTGACATACAAACATACACGGACACATCTTAGGAGTATACTATAGTGACTTTTATGTTTTTCTTAAATTTATTAGTAAAATATTAGTATTCGTATATACATATATATTGACCCCAACGTGTACCTATAATTTCTATGTCACGTGGTATCGTTTTAAAATAAGTTTGTAGCGATCGCGACACTTAAGTAATAACCAATTTACTATGAACTCCAGTTACGTACAGTATATGTGCTACGAGAGTTTAACTTACACTGGTTATCAATATGCAATGAGCCAATGTAAGCTGGACCTTAGTATCGTACACGTTTTTTACAACAAAGGTTCAAGTTATACTGGTGATACTGGTGTCGCGTCGCTCCTTATAAATTTCCTATATTGAACAATTTCTCAAGTTAGCTCGGTAAGTCTTTATTAATTGTAAAAATCTTTTGATACTATATAATTATGTAATTAATATATTTGTACATTTCGTACGCGACACGTATTTTTACTAATATAATATCGGGCTGCACTCGTTTGTTGGTATGGTGCCCACTGACCAGGCGGCGCTACCACCGCCTACTTACTGCCTACAGACACAAAACATCACTTTATAGATAGATAAATCTTAACATTCCTTTATAATATATATCTTTAAACTTTGAAAACAGCCGGACTGTTTTGTCGTCAAGTTTGTTTACAGTTAGATCAGCTAGATGGCGTTGTTTTAAAAATTTTACTTTAAAAGCAAACTTTTACTGAAACAGATGATAATGTTGACGTTGATACATAGAAATGAAAAAACATGGCGATATATAAGTGTTAGGATTGCCCCCTCCCTCCCCCATCGGGGATGAGGTGTAAGACGTCAGTGTGGTGGGTCCTCCGGTCAGTGTTCACGTTTTGTATAAACTTGTAACTTTATCTCGTGTCTCTGTTGTACATAGTCCTGTCCTGCTCGCACACACCTCACTTCACACCCGCTGCTGTCGCATTCTCGACTCTATTAATTCTGACATAGAGTTTATATTCGTTTGTGTTGGCAGTGAAGTCAGGATGTGTATAAGAAAATGCTATCGAATTGATTTTGTAAGTCATTTTGTATGTTTGGTAGCAGATGTAGGAGGGTGTCTGAATTCCAGTGTCTTTTTGGGCTAATAATTGAAAGTCAACAATCAAAATGATTTTGACTTAGTTAAAAACGAACGACGCCTCCTATTCGTGCAACCAACGCTTGTACAAACAAACAAATTATTATATTAAGTGATAACGTTCAGACTGATATATTCGTTTACAGATTTTTGTATTTTGCGGCGGACGAGCGCTCACGTCATTACATTACACAATGATTTCCATAATTCATGATTTATTTCTATATTAACGCGTCTTAAAAAAGGGACATCCCTACTCCTATGGGTTAAAAAAAAACAATATTGTAGTACAACATTGCTTAACTACAAAGTGCCACGTGGTGCGAGCCTAAGAGTTTAACCTTTAGAAGTAATGACGCGAGCGAACGCCAGCCTGTCTTTTTAATCATTTACTTATAATAATACAGCAACGCGTTACAGCAACGCGTTACAGCAACGCGTTACAGCAACGCTTGTACACACAGTGTTGTAAATACAAATATAATATACACAATACTACGAAATTTTGAATATTATTCGTTCTTGGATAAACATTATTAGTATTAAAAGAAAACGAGCTACAGATTATTCTTTTCTCACTAGATGGCGTCAAACTAAAAGAGGTAATTTTGTCTAATCAATGTAGCTATCAATCATTTAAACGTCCAATGATGTAACAGTAACTAATTTTCTATTGGTCGAAAATATAAGAAGTTTACACTAGCGCCACCTAGTGAGGGAAACTTCATAAGAAGGGACTTAAAGACTTATACATAACTAATGAAAATTTATAGATCTCCGTATATACAATTGAGTATTAAAAAGTCGTGTATTCCTGATATGAATGATGTTGATATGATTCCTGATATGATACGATATGAGTCGTTGCTGTAACACGTTGCGTGTTGCCCCCGCTGTATGGATGCGAGGCGGCGCGGCGTGACGTCACTGCGAGTGTACAACTACAATATACTTGTATTATTTATTGATCTATACACTTTTATTGATGTTCCCTGCCCTGTCCTACACCTCATTGTTAATCTACCGTGATGATACTGACACCAGAATAATCCAACTAATAAGACAAAAGCTGAAAGTTTGTAATAACGGATGGTTTGTTGATGAAAATATACACAGACATAGATTGCAGTCTTGAATAACACATAGGCTTCATTTCACCCCGGTAACGCGGGCGAAACCGCTGTTAGAAGCTAGTGGAGAAATTCATCTGATACTGGATAAGACTGGGGTTTAATTAAACATGGCTCCCTCCTTTAAACAGGGCTACTCACAATTGCACAATTCCGGGAGAAAATAAATAAACAGTACAATGATTAATTACTGTATAAACGTATCGCGGGTTCGACTCCCACACGGACGCAATACTCAACCATTCCCTGACAAAAAAACTATGTACGCTACAGGTTCGACACCTGGCAACTAATATTTTTGGAGATCGCTATCATTTCTACTTACATGGATTTTGATGGTGTATGTATTACCCTAACTAACATATCACACATGGCTGTGTTATGTATGCATTAAGCATCAAGGTAATGTCGAGAGGTAGTGACTCTCTGACTCTTGCTGACTAAAATACCCACCGTTTCTTCTCCTTCTCCAAGCCGAGTCTGCGTTACCTTCTTTGGTTTACCCGCGACCCTGGCCTAGCATCTAGCTCTCTGATTTGGTGCGAAGTTTCGCTGTCCCGATTTTTTTAATGCGATATGACGGCAATTGGAGCAGCCCGATTACTTGATGGCAAGCAATCAGCGCCGCCCATGGACACGCGCAACAACAAAAGAAGTTACCAGTACGTTGCCCACCTTTTGAGGATTAGAGATTTGGAAATTATGTTTCACGCCGATTTTCTGTAAGGTTGTGCTATCATTATGGCCGAGCCGACCCATTCGTGTCAAAGCATGGCTCTCCTACACTTGAAACTCCAGTCTTAACGGTTTTGGGTTCAATTCCTAACTAAAGCACAACTGCGTGTGTATATTAAGCAGCGTAATAAGTAAGGATATGCTACAATAACATTATCTAATTCTATTTTATCTGTGACGAATCTCGGTACATGGATGTAAACAACATTGATACGTAGATGTACGCCACTCTGAGATCTCTGCCTGCCGCCCGCGCAGTGCTCGCGCCGTGTATCCGGCGGCAGCAGGAGTGACGCGGCTGCAGATAACCATTCAATTTGTGTGTCGCGCAACTTGTCCGGCCGCCGCCGTATCGCGCGCTAT